CACAGACAGTCCCAATGGAAAGTGCTCTAGCTGCGTAAACAGGTCTCTCAATCTCCACTGATCTCTGAGAGCTGGATCTAACCATTAGTAGAGCTAAGTATCAAGTGATACAGAGGTTATGGTGGTAAGAAAGATGAATTCTGCCTCATGTACAACATGAGGTATATGTACAGTGCTTATGTAATGAAATGCAATACAGTGGAAGAAAGTTGAATCTTGGGGAGAGGGAAGTACCAAGTGCAACAGTGAAGCCTTACCAAACTGTCATGCTACAGTAATACAGATGTTGGTGGGGTATGCAGATAAGGTGCAACTGGACAGAGAAAGAGAGAAACAACAGAGAACTCTGGTTTTTGAAACTGGATTGGGAGAGATGTTTGATATCACATGCGGGGGTTTGACTAATACAGATGTTGGTGGGGTATGCAGATAAGATGCAACTAGAGATCTCAGAGCTGAAGTAGAGGCAGATGTGAAGGGGATTTCTAAGCAGCTAAAAAATTCCATAGTGTGAACTGTATCCATAGTGTCAAAGTGGATAATGCTTAAGCAACTCAGGAATCTTGGACTGAATAGCTTCAAGGTGAATCACACATGTCATTGATGCCCAAATTTGTTAGAGGAGAATGAATGAATCTGTAATTATGGTGTGGTTGGAAGTGGTAGATTACAGATGCTATTAAGGCCCCTTATTGCTACCTACATACTGGGAGCACAAGCCAGACATAGTGCCAAAACCCCTAGCAATCATTGCAGAATGTTCCAGAATATATACCCCAGACAGCAAAAAAATCACAAGTTTTTTGCTGAAACTAGGACCCCTGACACCCCTACAGACCAGAAAAATATATCCTTACCACATCTGTTTCACAAAATATATCCTAAGGCCAAGCCAGGGCAAAAATATATTTCTAAGGTGTGACAGTGACATTTCAGGGTCCACTCACCAAAAATATATCCTTACTGCATTTCACTTGCAAAATATATTTTGGTGGTGTGACACAGACATTATAATTTTTGTGTGACATTTCAGGGTCCATGTCTCAAGAATATATTTTAGATTTCAGAGCTTTCTAGGACCCATAATATAGATATGGTCCATGACATTTAGTCATGTAACTTACGTGGAGTTTGCATGACTAATAGTCAGTTGGCAGTGGGTGACTGAAGTGGCATGCTCTGGGTTTTGAACAGCTTGTAAGTCAGGATCTGGCTGGCCCTTCCTGCTTGTTGCTGACAAGAGCATGCTTGGGTTTTGAACAGCTTGTAAGTCAGGATCTGGCTGGCCCTTTCTGAAGTTGTTGCTGACAAGAGCATGCTCTGGGTTTTGAACAGGATGTAAGTCAGGATCTGGCTGGCCCTTCCTGCTTGTTGCTGACAAGAGCATGCTCTGGGTTTTGAACAGAATGTAAGTCAGGATCTGGCTGGCCCTTCCTGCTTGTTGCTGACAACAGCATGCTCTGGGTTTTGAACAGGATGTAAGTCACCATCTGACTGTTCTTCTCTACTTGTTGTTGATAAGAGGGTGGCCTATGTTTTAAATAGAAGGTAGGTCTCAGCTTTCTTCTCTTTTCATTTTGCTAAGAAATCATGAGATTGTGAGTTCAGTTCTACAATTTTAGAAAAACACTTATGAAACCCCACTTGTTCAAATAGACAGTCAGTATTTTATTGTTTCTTCCAATATTTTTATAAAAACCAGTAGTATTGACTGAACCAATTACTATTTTTAGGCAAAGGATGTCCTCAATCATACAGACTGGTCCTTGGTAAACCTTCATTAGCTTCACTGTGTAAATGCTATTCATTATTCTGACCACCACATAATTCTATCCAGATTCACAATACCAAATCCTTCAAGGACATTGCCTTTCTATGTATTGGTGTGTCTACTCTCATTTATGACCACTCTATCATAACTACTATTTTACTGCTCAGTGACTGCCATCATTGCAGAGCACTCTTTTTTTCTGTGGAAACAGAAACCTTCAAAGTCCACTGCCCCCTTTGAAATCAGCCATTCAAAAGTTCAACTTGTCTGCTGATGTGGCAAAAATTAAAACTGCCATCAAGGAGGCCTCTCGGCTTAAAACTGAGGACCAAAAGAAACAGGCCCTTGTAAAAATTGCTATGGACAATCGTCTTTGTGAGTATCAATATTCCAAGTCTTTCAAGGTCTTCTCATTTATTTGATTTTAGCTTTATAAAAGTTTCAGTCCACCTTCCCAGAATTTCATAAATGCAGCACATGTCTCTAGTTACCACCCATTATGATGCACCTTTTGCCTTGTTGTTCCCAAGAAAATAGATTGTGTCATTTGAGCAAAAGAAAGTCAAGGATGGTAAATTTTCCAAGTCCACAAGCTTTTCATGTTCTCAAGCTTCCATGGCTTAAGGGTGCCCTTGAGTTGTCTTCACAGTGTATGTGTATGGGAGTTCAAAGAGTTGTTAGAGGGGGGTGAGATGATACATGATTTACATATTCTCTAAAGTCTGTCAGAAAAACACAAAAGATACAGATACATATTCCACATTGCAATGTATTCACACAGAAAGAGGAGTTCTAAGTACCAACAGTGGTAAAAAAAATACAGGTACAAGAAACGACAGCTAGCAATGAGGGAGGATTGGGGAGGTACAGATGAAGGGAGAGTGGCATCAAACTCAAAAAGACGTAGTCGAGTCAACCTCAATAGTCGGCATGATGCTTGCAATAAACTTGAGGAAAACAACCAGATAGAAATTGACCCTCATCCCCTCCACCTCCTCTTCCTCAGCCCCAGCTTGAAGCTGTTGAACGTCCTTGGCACTCCCAGACGACTTTCGGCTGAATGGCCACTTCTTCTCTTTCTTCGGGGTGTCCTTCCCCGAGGGTTTACTGCACTGCACGAACTGTTCCTCAACGACACTGTTGTTCATCCTTTCTATTACCTTCTTCATGATGCTGGCATGTCTGCATGGATGCACGGAGGCGGCTTGGAGAGAGGCGGAGTGGATGAATGGTTCAATCGTTACTGTTTTCTGGGCGTGGTCTGCTGAGATGTCTTGGAAGATTTGGGAGGGGGTGGGGTGCAGTTCTATTGTTTCCTTTAGCTAGCATATTAGAAAAATGGGCAAAAGGTGAACCTCATCGTAGCCGATCAACCAAACGTGTGGGGTCTGATAATACTTGTCGTATGTGGTCATTACATTGTATGTGTGGACCTGAAGCAGATTCCCCTTTGCAACTTCCACATTGGCATTACAAAGATATTGTCAGCATTCTTTCAATTTCCAGCATACCCAATGACAAAACATACCTAGCATCAACCCCGGCAGCAGCAGGTATAACCGAGGCCTTGGGCGCAGCTGTAGCCATAGCCTCATCATCCCCCTCCTCCATATCAGGGATATCATCCAAATCAGGTGTCTCCGCCCCAACACCCTCACCCCCTCCCCTGCCCAACGACACGCCCCACAAGCCCCTCACAATCCTCTCCTCATCCCCATGCGGCCCATCCCCATCCAAATCAGGGATATCCGCAATCTCACCTGTGTTCATCGCAGAGTCCATTCAATGCGCCTGCTGACCCGCATGTGTCTTAACCCAGTCGTCGCTGTCTGTGGAGGGGGAAGAGGAATCAGCAAAGAAGAGGAGGTGCTCAGCGTCCTCGTCTGCGTCTGTGTAGGCTAGGGAGGTGGTGCGCCGGAGGCAGGGGACACCACGCGTTACTAGGTATTGTTTGTCTTGTGGGAGGAAGTTGCAGGATTTGGATGCGTCTCCTTTTTCCCTGTTGCCCACTTAGTTTTCGCGAAGAGAGAAGAGGAGGAAGGAAGGAAGGAAGAAGGGGCTTACCATGTCCACACGGGGAACTTGCACACCAAAAAGTCACCTGCAGCGAAGAATTCCTCTGTTCCTCATGGTGAGCACAAGAAGTGTGATAGACGATCATGAACATACCAGGTGTAATACGGCCATGTTCTTTGGATTTGTTCTCTTTGAGAACCTAATAGGTGGGTGTGATGGGTGATAGTGAGATGATGCCAGATCGCGAATGATGGGGCTCACTGGGCTTAGGTACTACTCGTGCAGAGCGCATAGGCTGGACTGGATTGGTGGCTAGCAATGAAGCTGAAGGAGGACTGGGGGGACAGAGTCATTGAGAAGGGAGTTGGCATCAACTTGACAAGACGTCATTGAATGTTCGCAATGAACTTGCAGAAAACGACCAAATAAAAATCAATCATTCACCATCCTCTCAGTTCCTCTTCCCTCTAGCTTGCCGTTGTTGAACGTCCTTGGCACTCCCAACAATTTCCTGCTGAACGCCCACTTCGTCTCTTTCTTAGAGATGTCCTTGCCCCTTCAACTAGTTGGAGAAGAGGGTTTGCCATGTTGTGCAAGCTATTCTCGACAACACCACCATTCAACCTTTCTTTTGCTTTCTCCATGATGCTGGCATGCTCGCATTCTTCAACGTTACAAGAAAAACAGTTTTACAAATGCACGAATCTCATTTCCATCCCGTGTCCTCGGGACTCCAATAGTCCTCTCAACAATGAACTCCTCTCCCGCATGTACCAAAGAATTTCCAAAGAGCTTGCTCCTCCCGAAATCGATGAGCCTGAAATCGAACACCCTGTCTCGAGGATTAGGTGCTGGTTGGCCATGCGGAACAGGGGGAATTCAGTCAAAGGACCTGGCTGGAAGAGAATGTTGCAAGGCGCGACAGAGTGGTGGACCGACCCTGCATGATGGAACCGAAAAATTAATGATGTGCATTCGTGTCTAAAACGAATGAATCTGGTGAGTGATAATGAGATGTTGGATTGGTAGGGCTTACTTATCGTTGATATTAAGTGCGTCAACGTCGATTAGACTTCCACAATTCTCCATGAGAATGATCGGGCTACGATAATGGAGCTCCTCCCCACCACCAACATCACCCATGTCAGACTGACCAACATCATCAACCGCCGCCACCCTCTTCTCCTTCCTCACCGGGATATCCTTATCAGGAACATGATGCCCATAATACTGAGGCACAAGTGCACCCACAGGTACTGGCTCATGCAACAGCGAGACAATGTTATACCCATTCCAATGCTGGAAAAAGTGATCAGGAAACACCTGGTATTTAAGCGACTCTCTGTCCAGGCGATCGTCGCCCTGCATGGACAGTTTCGCCGTGACACGGATGGTGGCACGAAGGGTGTTTGAACCTATCCTGTTCTGAGAGGTAGATGCAGCCCCCACCTCGCTCGAGATTCTGGTACCCAACTGTGGTGCGGATGATGCAGATGGGACCTACATAGACGAGTCTGTTGAGCTCTCTGCGCTCCCTCAATACATTGACGTTTGGTTCTTCATGAGTGGTCGTTACAAATTCAGGCTGGATTTTGGGTCTGCCCCTTCTGCGTCATCTTCAGAAGCGATAATTTTCTGTTCTTCGTCAATGACGCATTGTCTGCAGAGGACGTCTGGGACGAGGAGGTCGCGTGGGATGTCCCACTCTGTGTGATAAGCGAAAGAGTGATTCCCTTTGCCCGCCAGGTGGGAAGGCGAGAGGTGCAGATGGGCTTCTTCGGCAGAACTGGGAAGAGAGGAAGGCTCGTGCATTGCGTATACCCAGGGTTTGGTTGATCCAGGGATGAGGCTGTCCATAGAGTGCTAATGCTGAAGAATGTTCTTCAAGCTTAGCACCCTTCCGAAGAGCTTCCTCGACCTCACGGTCTGAGATCAGTTTCTCTTGTTCCTTTTCCATCTTCTCTCTGCCAGTGGGAGAGGCGTTATGGCTATAGGTGTGGACTATGTCAGGTTTTGAAGACCATGGTTGAGGATGGTGTTCCTCGAAGTGGCCATCTCGAACTTGAAGCAAACGGAACTGGTCATGAACATAGAGAGTCGTTGGCAGAAGGTGTAGTGGAAGACGTTGTTGAAGAATCGGCAAAGAATTGAAGGTCGCGTTGAATGGCTCCTAGAACGAAAGAAAAAGGTCAGACAAGATGCGGAAAACGCAGAAAGAAAATACCAACAGGACGAAT